ATAAGAAAAGAACAATCATAACTTCTGAATCTCTACGACACGATATCGGAGTAGAAAAGAAGGGAACCTCTCTCAACCTATAGCCTCTCGCTCATAGATATGTCGCGACTCACATCAATGGTCAAGACTTTACTAGTTGTGACTTGATGAGACTTTTGGATTCCTAAGGCTACTTACATAAACTATGCTCTGATAACATGTTTGTCACGACTCGCAATTAAACCCTAGAAATTAGGGCATTCTTAGGTCACAACACGACGTACTTTAACTGTCGTAGATCTTGTACAAGCCCTTTCATATCGTTCATCGTATATACATAAATAAAAAGTAGTGCGAAATTAAAACTTTTCACAATATGCAAATGGTCTTTCAAAATCTCTTTCATATAAAAATCATAGGAAATACTAATTCTCATGTCATCAAATCTTAGACTCAAAATATACTTGGGACACGACCCATAAAATCAAAATATAATATTACTAAGTCTATTACAATGCTTCAATAAAACAAATCAAAAGAAATATATGCCCTCGAGTCAAATGAGGACATACTTCAAACTTGCTTGAAAGATCCTATAATCCAAGCTTTGCTCCAAAAATCACCTTCACCTTTGAATCACTTTAGAGATAGATAAAAGCATGAAATAAGTACAAACACATGTACTAAATATGGCATAATGCATAAAAAATCATAATAACAAACATTTAATGGAAATATGCTCTTTTGATTAAAACCTCATAGTATAAGCATAAGAACAACAGTTAGCACATTAGAAACACATTAGCTAATACATAGACATTTTATAAGAATTTAATGGCATAATAATAATAATAATAATAATAATATTAATAATAATAATAATAATCATAATAATAATAATAATGATAGTAATAATAATAACAATAATAATAGTAATAATAGTAGTAATAATAATAATATTAATAATAATAATAATAGTAATAATAGTAGTAGTAATAATAATAATAATAATAATAGTAATAATAGTAGTAGTAATAATAATAATAATAATAATAATAATAACAATAATAATAACAATAACAATAACAATAATAATAACAACAACAACAACAACAACAACAACAATAACAATAATAATAATAATAATAATGATAATAATAATAATAAAAATAATAATAATAATAATAATAATAAAAATAATTATAATAATAGTAATAAAAATAACAACAACAACAATTACTATTATAATAACAATAACAATAATAATAATAATAATAATAATTACAATAATAAAAATAAAAATAATAATAAATATTAATTGCCTCTTCTATGCTCGAAAACTCCGTTAATAATTATAATAGTCCATCAATGAAGAAAATCAATACTACTCTAATTAATTTAATATAACAATTGAATTTAATACTATAATTAAAAATTGGAAATCAATGATTGTGAGTGTAGAGTTAAACTCCATTACAAAAATAAATTTTACTTACTTGAAGGTGGCGATGATCTCTCTATTTGTGTTCACCGCACGAACAACTTAGTTTTTTTCTCTTCTTATTTTCTTTTTTAAATTAATTAATAATAAAAGTAATAATTCCTAATAACCTACTTTAATATTTGAAATTTGGTCGATTATGATTAAAATGAAATAAGTTACTCGTAAATTAATTAACTACAGTTAAATGACCATTCAAAATTATTAAAAAATCATTTTTTGCATCTGGATCATTATACAAAATGTATCTATTCTTTCAATTTTATACAAACAAAAATTTGGAAGGCATAAATATAATGGTTATTGAATCCAAGTTAAAAGGGAACATCATTGTATTATATTATAATTATATATATGCCTATTCTCTTTAGTGAAATAAACATGAAACGAACGGAAACGATGAGCTAATAGAAAACAAATCAGTAAAAAAAAAAGGTTTCTTGCAATAATATGTGTAATGAAGAATGTTATAGACTTATTAATTAAGGTGCAATAAATGGAATTGAAAACTTTGATCCTTTGCGAGGTGGAGGATTCTTTGGGCGAAAGCTCTTCTTCCTAGGCTGGCGTTTTTTCTGCTGAGCTGGAGGATTGAATGCTCTACAATTTTTTCTAATTTCTCCGAATTTTCCCTCGAGAACTTGTGTGTTCCCTAACTTGATCAATGCATTTGCAAAAGCCTGTTGGAAGGCTTTTGGATTTATAGAAAAATTCTCAACAATCCCAGCACTTGACCTATCAGATGCAAGTTGTTGATCAATTTTCAACAACCCTTTCTTCAACCTTATCTGCTTGTAGAATTCATTGTCCACAATAAATGACGTGCTTTGATCTAAGAAAACAGAGGGATCATTATTCCTTGCAGCACAAGTCTTACTAAGTCTTGTGAACAAGTTAGAATCTATACTCCCGTCAAATCTGGATATACGGTCTTGAATAAGACTACAATGTGTAATTCCAACGGTATGGGCACCCAAAAGAGTAACCATGTCATTCAGGCTAAACCCTTTGTTTGTGAAAAATTTTAATGCTTCTTCAACTGTTAAACTCGGTCCTGGTAAGTTAACTTCTGATGGATTTGAGATCAGCCCATCTCGTCTCCCTGTGGGGATGTTATACTTAGGTCCTCCAGCTAATGCCACTGAATCGCGAGTAGCTAATGCTATGATATCAGCACAGGAGACGGTACTTGGGCATGCAGACTCTACTCGGCTCTTTATCCTATCAATAACCTCATATCCTCTTACTGATTGGTTTGGTCCCGCGTCTTTTTCAGATTGCTTGTTTCCAGTGTTCTTCGAGTCTATCAATATTGATGCATCACAACCCTGAACGAAGTAATTAATTATTAGTATGGTTCAAAGGGAGAGGAAGAACACTTTGTATCCAAATGGTTGACCACATTCACCTCAACCTCATATGAGTCAATCAGAAAGTGATCGAGTGAATAGCAATTTGATTCATTTTCTATGTATGTCCTCCATCTAATCCAATTATTTGACACCTTTAGTTATATATATTCCCGCAGTTCTATTCATTCCTTTCTATAAATAGTTGGATTATAATACTTGTCATTTTATAAAATGTATTCATAAATTATCATGTTTTGTCTATTATACCTTGATAGAGTAGTTAATTAATCATTTATTACAAAGTTGACTTAAAAAATATTAAATAAAAATAAAAGAGTAAAATTATATCATTTCTTAATACATGTGCAAAGTAAAAATGTGACATATAAAATGGAACGGAGAGAGTATCACACATACAATTTTAATATGATATTTCAATAATAATAGAAAGAATATATTTTCAAAAAACTTTATGAGAAGTATATTTATTCCCAATTAACCAGTCCAAGAAATATACAATTAATTGAACCAAAGCAAGAATGGGAAGGTCGAAATTTCGTGTATAGTTATGACACACAGAAGCAACAATATTATTACGTACCCTGACAAAGCAGTCATGAAAATACATCCGAAGCAAGGCTGCTGTGATGGAACGATCAGTAGAGAAGGAGCGTTGCACTTCTTGTTGTACAATACTTTCGGCTGCACGACATTTTTTGGCGTAAAAACCAACTTGAAGTGCACTTGACACAATAATCAGTTCATGAAAAAAATAACATATAAACAAGAGTTGTATTATCTTCTTCTCCATTTAATTTGATGTGTTAATTTGTAGCACTTGATTCAAAATCAAATTTAATATATTGAGAGGACTTTCCAAAGGTATTTATACAAATACAATAGAGATATTGGAGCTTTGCAAGTTAAACATAAGTGGGATGCACGACAGCACGAATATAATAAATAAAACTACTTAAGACAAGAAGATATAATAATGAGATTAATAAGGTTGGTTCATGAATATTATTCTCCATTCTTAATAATGTGTTAATTTTGATTTGATAAATAATTTAAGAAATAAAATGAGACTTTTTAACCTTGTAATTTTAAATTAAAAACATGTAAATTTTACAAAACTATTATTTAATTTTATGATTGTTTGTGAAATATATATATATATATATATATATATATATATATATATATATATATATATAATCTCATCATTCATACATAATGAATTGATGTGGTATATTCATATCATAATATATGAACGGTAAGAACTAGCATTTTTATTCAGACTATAATTCATAGGGAAGAAAATAGATTGATGGATGAAAGTATTTATAGACAAAAGAACGAATCCGCTCTCTTTGCTGTGAACAAGAGAAAGCTCTTTTATATATATATATATATGTGTGTGTGTGTTTCAAGAACATGATAAGATATGCTTAACAATTGCATTTGTTCCTTTAGAAGTTAAATATTAAATTGTATGAACTAGGAACAAATGATACGTATCAGATGACCAACATCATTTTCATTGAGTATTTAATTGCACGAACTTATTAGCTTAACGTCAACTTCAAAGTCCTGATTAATATAAATTAGTCCTAAACCCCAAAGGCTTTCTAATTTTTTTAGAAAAGTTCCCATGGTAATCGTTTAAAACATATTAGATAAAAATATTATATAGTGATTCTAATAATATTTAATTTAAAATATATTAGTTCGAATGAATATAATTGTATTTATTGTTGAAGTTTAACAAGTATGGGCTTAACTAAAAGTCCCCTCTGCTACAGCCAATAGAAGACGTGTCACTTAAATCAGAATGGTTTAGAGGAAATCTTTTTTAATCATAACTCCTTTTACAACTATAAATAGAAGCCTCACAATTCACAAAACGGATCTGAATTCTTACACGAAATTAGAGAAAATTTGTGGATCAAACGCCACAGATAAGTTCAAGAACAAGCTCAAAAGCGCTTGAACTCAAATATAAGTTAAGAACAAGTTCAAGATTCAATTTCAAGCTCAATAGCCCTTGAAAATATATTCAAAAAGACTAGGTAGAGGATTCATATAGTACGATTGTTGCTATATTTTTACATTCTTGACTATTATTTTTCTCGACGCGAATTTTATTGTCTAAAATTATAGCACGCTAGTGAAACAATCTCAACCTCTTATTTAAACTTTTCAAGCATCAAAGAATATTTAAACTACTTCCAAAAAAATTCAACCCACAATCAACTACCTCTGAGCCTACTGACTCCAAGTTCTAGATCAACTGAAGTAGTCAACATTCTTGGTGGTACTTTCGGAAGTTTCAGAATTATTGCGAGAATGAACACTTCAAATGTTGCCCACATCAAATTTTATGTTTGAGTCTTCAACTCCAAAAGGTTCAAGGTCCTCCACAAATGCTTCAGAAGGAGAAACAAGTATTGGTGAAAAGATCAAAAATACCTTAGCTCGACTTGAGCGTTCTGGTACTAAGAACTCTACCACAAAGAAAAACTATAATTTAATAGTGAATCTTCTCCTCACGCATCTCGTAAGTGAGTCCTTTGAAAATCAACTATTGTAACTTGTCATGCTACTCTCTTACATCCACAATTATCATGCAAGTAATGGTAATTAATACTTTATTCATGAAAGAACAACTTGCAAATATGACAAAGTTTGTTCAAGGATTTTCAAAGCATATATACTACCAAAAGTCTTGAATTAATAAGTTGGTGCCACGATCCAAAGTATATTCTACATGTGACATAGCGTATAGGACCCCGAGATGCCCTGCACAAGCCACTTAACATTCATAAATAAGATAATATAATTAAAGATTTCAAAAGATAGTTATATCATAAAGATTAGTTAAAAACGAAGCAAAAGTCTAAGTAGTCTCAAAGTCATATTACATCAAGAGCTATTGAGGCATAACATACGCATCACATATAATATTTGAAAAGTAAAGAAAAAAATCAACTAAAGGTTCAATCCTTGGAACATGAGAACTCACCACTACTCAAGACTACCAAAGTGATCACTAGCCACGGGGATGTGAAATTGGAGAGTCGGCCCTACATTTTAGAAGAATGTAGGCAAGAGTATGCGTTAGTACAAAAATATACCAAGTATGATAGCAATGCATAAAAGTTACTAAATCATGCCAAAAGGACTTTTCATAATATGCAAGCACCATGTTTAAAATACAAGATACAAGATTAGAAGTATAATCATGGTCATGGTCAATGCAAGTAAAATCATCATTGAACGCATGTGAGATACTTTTAGAAGTAATTAACCTTATTTCATCATTATTGTGGGAGTTAGCTTTAACTGATAGAGAGACCATGTGAATTATAACATGGAATTCAGTGTCTACCCCACACCAAAAAGGGGTGTCTTCACTTGCCAAGATAAGAACTATAAACTTCTTGTTTAAGTGGATGAACTAGCTAATGTCTATCTAAGACAACTTATGATGACATATAGTTTATGGACACAAGTAATCTCCACTTGTCCACTAGGTACAAAGCATAATGCCCACGGAATAGTCATCAATCATATTCATCTTTATCTTTAAAGGGCAAAGGTGATTGCCTCTTGCCTTATCATTAGGATACATGGGTAATCACCTCGTCTTATCATTATAATAGCTCCTAAAAATGTATTCATAGTTTAGTTGAGAGAACCTTTCAACTCTAAGAATCCTTTATATGATAAAATTCTTTCACATTCATGTATTGAGTAATATGTGAGAAAACCTTTCACAATAATCAATAACAACAATTATGCTTTATTCTCAAAGCAACTTAGATCATTTTCATCAATTTCATAAGATCATGCATATTTTCATAAAATCATCTTAGTTCAAACATCACTTTCAATCATCATAGTCTATAAAACATGGGTTAAGAATGGTTTCATGGAAATTCAACTTTTGAATAATAGTTCATAAAACAATCAATTAAATCAACATTGAAAGGAACCAATGACATGGAAGAAAATCCAACTTTAATTGGAGATATTTAATTTGTAAATTGAAGAATCTAGGTACACTATGGACGAAAGCGCTCCGCAAGTGAAGAATATAATACCTTGATTCCAAGTTCTTTTAAGTAATGGAGTATTTGGAGACGTGATCTTGAAACCTCATCTTCTTCTTCTTTCTTAGAGAGAATTTGAGATGATGACTTGATCAGCTTTTGGGAGAATGAATTGACTTAGGTGTTTAGGCAGTTCAAATTCATTATATAGGGCTTTGGATAAAGGGTAAAACGACATAGTATTGATATTAAATAATTAGGGAAAAGACCAAAAAAACCCTCAAAATAATTGTCGACCCTCACAGACGGTTTAACCTTCGGTACGTAGGTCTTGCCATAGATCGTCCTGGTCGATCATCGATGGGTTTAGAGATACCCTTTTTGGACACCGGATGATGGTGCCCTATATACAATTCATGGTTTCACTTGCAGGTCGTACATCCCATCGTGGGTCCAAAATTTTGATCTTAAAATTTCACTAAGTTTGAGATCGACTTATGAGCATACTATGACGCGTACATTGAATGTCAGACTATCCTGGTGAGCTGTCAAAGAGTAATAGGAGTAGAGGATTCAACTCAAGTTGGACTCGCCCCTATTATCCCTACCTACGGTCTGTGGTTCAGCTTATAGAACATCGGTGGTTCATCAAAACTAACACCAAATTTTAGGAAAATTTAAGTTTTACCTTCTTTTAGAATTCGAGGTGTTAAAATTGGTGGTTATGATCGAGCAAATTTATGCCCAAGAACTTCAAATTCTTCAGGTTTGAATATTGAGGTCTCCAACAAATGATATATGTAAGTTGAAGTCTTCAAATTCTACAAATTTTCAAGTTGAAGTATTCTTATTCTACAAGTTTGCAAGTTGGACTCTCAAATCAAACAGAATTGCAAGATTAAGTTCTAAAAATCTGTTATGTCTATACGTTGAAGCACTAAAATTTGCAAGTAAAATTTAAATGCGCAAATTTAAAGAAAAGAGGAACTTCCGTTATTTTCATTCTTATTGTCATGCAAAGTATCAAATAAGTGGACTATTAAAAGCTTGCAATACAAAAATAAATAGCAAATTTATGTTTGAGAGTGCAATAAAAGCCATACGATGCATGATATAAGACGAAAGAAGAAAATAAACTCTGACAATAAAAATGTCAAGAATCTCAATCAAACTCTAAAGGAAAAAAAGGAAGATAAAAAAACGTAATTTGTAGTTGATCAAATCTTGACGACTAGCCTCCAAACACTCTCTTCCAACTGAGTTTGATTATCTGTCATCACTAAGTTCATGTTGTCACAGGAGGATACCTTATCCTCTATTCCAAAAATATTGGGTTGAATCTTTTCAACATTATTTTAGTAGTTTCTGTAACAACTTTAAGTTCTTTTCACACAGAGTTGCTAGCTTCCTCTTAGCCTTCTTTAGCGATTTACTATTAGAGGAAGCGTATTTTTCCTTGTCAGATTTTTCAACTCTGAATGATTCAAGACGCTCCTTAGTTTTGGAGACAAAATCATCTTATTATTTTCATGCGCCTAGTTAGAGTATTCTTGATCATAGCAAACAACAAGCTCGGAAAGAGAGTACACCAAGCTCCAATGATGAAACAATATGCATCTCATTTATCTCGTTGAAAATCTCATAAAAATCTTCATCATTAGATGAAATAGAGTTGGAGAATGTTTGCCACAAATCTGTTTAACCACTTATGTTTATGGTTGAAAACAACACAATTTCCTTCAAAAATACACATAGCTCCATTCATTTTTATAACAACTCCAGAGATCTCATTTGCATTAGGAGTCAACAATATATATAAAGTTTGTGATGTCTTTTGTCCTTGCTCGATCGACAATTAAACTTTATTTTGTCTTATATTTTTGTATTGCAATAGATTCATCACTAACTTGCGACCTTAAAGAAAAGGTTAGAAAATTGATTTAACCGTAAATTGGAGATAATAGATTGGTGATTTAACAGAAAAGCTTCTAATAACAGATAGTATTAAATAAATAGTATTAAATAATATTAGTATTTACTGTGTACTAATCCTAGTCCTATTAGGATTAGTACTCCTTAATCCAAGTCCTATTAGGATTAGTACTCCTTCCTATATATCCTATATATATCTCCCATGTATTCCCTTATTAGGTTAATACTTCAATACAATCAATATTCATTCATGGTATCAAGAGCCAGAAAACCTAGATCTTCTTTTCGCTAGGTTTTTTTTCTCTCTTTAGGGCACCGATCGTGCCCTCTCTTCTCTTGGGCGGCGGCAGCCATGACAACCGAGGTGGATCCTCTCGATTCACTTCCTTCTGGCGTTAAACTCCTTCTCAGGCATCTTCATGCCTTGATTCCCGAAAAATTATCAGACATAAATTACCCTACATGGAAAATCACCGTTCTTACAGCCCTTGAGGCCAATTACCTTCTCAAATACGTTGATGGAAGCACAGAACCGCCACCGACAATCATCACCGCCACGGAAAAATCAGAAAAAACCAATCCGGACCATGCCGCCTGGAACCCGTGGATGGCCAGATCCGATCATGTTTGACTGCGGTCATCTCTCCCACCGTTCAGAAACACGTCCGATCCTACACAACTGCTTCAGACCTGTGGACGGCCCTTGCAACACGCTATGCATCAATTTCCACTCTCATATTTTTCAATTGCGTGATCGTCTCCACACAATTACCAAAGGCACGAAAACTATGGCGGAGTATTTAGACGAGGTCTCCACCATCATCATAGCCCTCGACACCGTGAACGAAATCAGTCCCGAAAAAGATCTCATCATGTGCGTCGTTCGGGGGCTCCCATCAGCTTATTCCTCCATTAAAAAGGCGGTTCGCATCAGTCCAACGCTCGTTGACCTGGATACTCTCTCCTTGTGGCTAAAAAGTGAAGAAATCAACGTGGATCTGGAGAGCAAACTTCTTCTCCGAGAAGCCACTGTTATGGAGCCGGTCACCGCCCTCACAGCAAGCCAGAACTATCGCGGGGGGCGTGGTGGCGACCGGCAGGGGAGTCGCGGTGGCTACGACAGAAACAATGGAGGCCGCGGGCGCGGCGGTCGGTAGGGCAGTCGTCCGCCGTACGACGGTCAGCAACACGGCAACAACAATAGCCTGCACTCCTTCTGCAGCGGCGGGCAGTCATCTTCCAGCGGCAGGCAGGGCACTTACGAGCGGGATTGTCCAACTTGTCAAATCTGTCAGAAAATAAGACACTCCGCTGTTCGTTGATGGTTTCGATATGAGGAGAGCCGAAATAGTGATAACCGTGCCAATTATGCATCTCAAGCCGGCCCCTCCTCTGAATGGCTGTTGGATACTGGGGCCAACATACACGTTACTTCTGATCTATCCAAGCTTAACGCTCTAAATCCATATCATGGCTCCAATGGTATTACTGTTGGCAACGGTGAGTCCCTAAACATTTCTCACACTGGCACGGGTACCATTAGAACCCCCACCGCTATCTTTCACCTAGGTAACCTTACTCACGTCCCTTCTATTAAAACCAGTCTCCTTTCAGTTCACCAATTCACAAAAGACAATAATTGCTCACTCTTGTTCACCTCTAATGATTTTCAGATCCTAGACAATACTACCAAGAGGGTGATTTTTCAGGGCTCCTGTGAGCATGGTCTGTACGTTCTTCCTGGCACAAGTTCGTCTGCCCACCCAGTTTTAGAAAGCGTTCCTGTGGCTCCGATGGCTCTTTCGGCTGATGGCCACCGTCTGTTGTGGCACAGTCGTCTGGGTCACCCGTCTACTCAAATAATAAATTCTTTAATGTCTCAATTAGGTTTTTCTTCCATTCATGTAAACAATTGTGACTCTTGTTCAATTGCTAAATCTCATAAATTACCTTTTACTTTATCTGAGAAGCGTACAACTGCACCTTTTCAATTTATTCATTCTGACCTATGGGGTCCTACTGCTGTTCCTTCATTTGCTGGTTTTCGCTATTATATTTTTTTTGTGGATGATTTTACAAAATACACTTGGTTGTACCCACTAAAACACAAATCACAGGCATACACCACCTTTGTCACTTTTGAAAAAATGGTCAAAACACAATTCAATTCTCATGTTAAACTTCTTTGAAGTGACAATGGAAAGGAATATGTAAATAACATCTTTGGCCAGTTTCTGCAATCCCTGGGAATTATACATCAAACCTCCTGTCCATACACTCCCGAACAGAATGGGGTGGCTGAGCATAAGCATCGTCATCTCATTGAAACGGTGGTTACTCTTCTACATCAATCTCATCTCCCTGTCCCCTTTTGGGTAGAAGCTCTAGCCACCGCAAACTACCTTATTAACAGAATGTCCAGTCACACCATCTCCAACAAATCACCCTATCAACTC